TTCTGTGAAAATCATGTTTCTAGACTTACATGTTAAAGAGGGTGAGAACTTTCTTAAGTTTCATTATAGCCTGTGGATTCTGGTGCTAAAGTATTCCTAGTTTGAATATGAAGTATGCAGAAGTTGTCCTTTCCATCCACATTACACAGGAAAGCTTGACTCTGGGTCATTCTTAAGCTTGCTATTAATTGCCCTATTGGGTATGGATGGTCCCCAAGGTCCCATTATGAGCTAAATATTACTTCCTGCTTTAGTTACAAACTTCAGTATTTCCTGGCTCCAGAAATAAGCTCTTCCATCCCAAACTTGACCTTGGATTCAGAGATTCATGCTCAGAGCCTTTGATTCTGGAGAGCCCATTGTAAGAATCATTAAGCCTACTCTAGTTTTATTAAACTGTACATGTGAACCTTTCTGACACACTCAGCTAATAATTCACCTAAAATTTGGACCTGCCTTCTGTAAAGTGTTTTTATTTTTGAATAACAAATTAACTTGACTCTTGCTGTTTTTAAGAAAGACATTGTATATGAGATAAGCTGTATTTGTATATCTGCCTTATTTTGAGAATGCATATTCACCACTGGGAAATTTAGGGAGAGGGGAATAAGAAGGGTAGTTTTCATAAAATTTTGGAAACTTTCTTTATGCTCTTGACTTTCTCCAATATTTCCAGTTATACTGTTTACTGAAAGGCTGAATGAAGGAATGGATTATTTGTAAAATAGCCATAACTTTGGATACATATATGTTACAGAGACAAATTGTTTTTGTGTTTGTGCTATATGTGTGTGTTCTTGTTTCCTTTCTTTTCTGAATAATTCTATTTTCTCCACAGTCGTAGACTATTTGAGAGACTCTATACTTATTGAAATAAACAAACTTTAAAACGTGGGTTGCATCCATTTTGATGCTGAACCATTCTGCTTTTTAAAAGACACGTGAACTAGGGACCCTACGAACTGAAAGATGCCCAGTTCAACCCCATAAACTGCTCTTCAGGAAATAAGATGTGGCAATCTGTTTCCATAAAGCATCCATAAAACCTTGAAAACCCTATGGGGCAGTTTCCTCTGTCCTATTGGGCTGATATGACTCCTTAACAATGGGTGTGCATTCGTTCAGGTTAAGGGTAAGCAAATGAATGAAAGAGGGTTCAGATCAACACATATGAACATGATTATTAAATTAAAAGGAAATTTTGGAAAGCTACACCTGTCTATATGTGTGTTGGTCTGTCTATCTATCTATCTATCTATCTATCTATCTATCTATCTATCTATCTATCATTATCAATGTATCCTATATGTCTAAAACTTCAAGAAACTTCGTAACACTTCTGAAGTGTATTTCACAGTACTACATTTTAAAGACTTTACCTGGATAATTGATGTGTGTCTTGGACATAAATAAATAATCATTTTTTTAATGAACACTATTGTATGTATGTAGTATTGACTTATACTTAATGTATGTTATAAATGTAATTTTTTCCCTAAATAGGACAGAAAAAATAGGAAGAAAATCTATTTAATGGAAAGAAGGGAAGCTTCTTTATTTGGTTTCTTCTATGTTCCAAATACAGGCCTGCACCTGACAAACTCTTGGCAAGTAGAAGTTCACTTTCCATTTGAGGAAGCAAAGGATTGAAATCCAACTTGCCACATTCCTGCAAAGACTGAGATTACAGAAGAGTAGTGTTTGGTAGAGAGTAGATCTGAATTCTCCGTGGAAGATGTTATTCCAGAGATGAATATTAACAGATCAGTAGAATTTGGTTCACAGCTCTTTTGGTAGTGCAAATGACTGCTTCTGATCAACTAGCCTTCATGTTGGAACTTCAAATCTACTCAGTGGTGCGGCAAAATAAAGACCTGGAGACCTATCTCCATTAAGATTGCTGTGGCATGCCATGCAGTCAATTGCAGCTCCTATTACCCTTTAGTGAACAGGCGAACTGCTCCCACAGGGTCTTCTACACTATATTTATTATAAAAGAAGATGAGCAGGTTTTCTCCTGTGGAGCAGGTTCTGGGTTCAAACCACTTTTTGTTTGTTTTTTAATTTTTTTTTATTATCAACCAAGGGCTTAACCATTGTTTTACCTGTGCTCCGTTCATTAAAAAGCACAGCTAGGGAACCCCATAGGTAAGTTCTACGGAGTGACACTTGTGATGGTCCTGAATCAGAATGGACTGAGTGGCATTGTTTTTTGTTGTGCTTTGTTAGTTAGTTTGGTTTTTAGAATTTGTCAAGGGAATAGGATCATTACAGAAAAAAGTAGACACAGGACTGGCATAAGATTTAAATTAGAAATTAGGGATTTATTTGTCTAGAACAATCGTACATGTTGGGACATTATTCTGGAAATCCAAAGGGGAACAGAAACTAGTCAGAACCTTGTATTAAATGCTGAAGTGTATGGATTTAATATTTTAAGAAATGAATATTGTATCTTGATGAACATCCTTTTCAGTTTTTCCTGTTTATTCCACCAGTCATGTACAGAAAGGGAATGACCACGATAAAGTGAATGGTAAGAGACCACCTCAAATTATTTGTGCTCTACAATGCCATCAATAAAAATGAAAATTTAAATTACAAGAGGCTAAATTGGTTAACATGCATGGAATCGATGAAAATGTCATTGTCAGATTCATAAGTAGTTTGAATAGGTGTCAGTTAAGGGGCATAAGTGGTAGACAATTTTAAAGTGAAGAGGTTTTTGTGGGGGAGAATAATGATGGTCTCTAATTATGTTATCTCAGTTATATCAAAGTGGATGACTGTTATGATAAAGAGTGGAGAAAGTGGAGAAAGTTATGATAAAGAGTCAGATCGCAGGATTGAATCTCATCTAATATTTCTTATCTATTCAGTTGTTTAAGGAATCATACATTTAGAGATATGTGATTCTATTAACTTTTCTACAAAAGACTTTCTTGAGTTTTTTTAATCTCTAAGATTGCCAGTTGCTTAAGAAATAAAATCTGCAACCTATCATAAGCCCTCTGACCCTCCACAGCCACTCACTCCAACATGATATCCTATTAATTCTAACTGCTAAATATCTTGAATCTAAGAATGTAAGTCTTCCTCCCCACTCTCAAGCACCTGCTTCTTAAAGCATTGCAAGAGCTCTCTAACTGACCTCCTTGTATGAATCCATTCCTGGAAAATCCCTTCTGCATTCTCAGGCCAGAGCTTTGTTGTTGTTTTTATTGTTTTTGTTTTCCAGTTTTATTATCACTCCATTCACCTGTCATACAATTCAATAATCAATCATATCAAGAAGAATCATACAATTATCACCACATGCAATTCTACAACATTTTCATCTTCCTTGTCTTCATTGTTATTTATGTCATCATTACTTTTTAACTGTGACAAAAACATATACACCGAAACATCCTCCAATTCCGCAACTTCTCATACATGTACAATTCAGTTATTAATTAGATTCTTCTTGTTGTACAAACTCTATTGATATCCTTTTCTAAATTATTCCACCACAGTTAACATAAACTCAATGCTCCTGAAGCAACAACTCTTTCTCCTTCACCATGGTTATCAATGGTCAAGATTTTCTTTTTAGATAGTTTTCTTGATATACTATTCACATATCATACACTTTCATGGTTAAATCGCTGTTGTTGTTTTTTAATGCAATTATGTTCTCCCTTTTGAATTTCATTGCTTTGACCTGTTTACAATAACCTTTAGAAAAA